TTCTATGTTACAGAGCTGTTGGGTTCTATGTTACAGAACCGTTGGGTTCTATGTTACAGAGCTGTTGGGTTCTATGTTACAGAACCATTGGGTTTTATATTACAGAACTGTTGGGTTCTATGTTACAGTACCATTGGGTTTTATATTACAGAACTGTTGGGTTCTGTGTTACAGAACCGTTGGGTTCTATGTTACAGAACCCTTGGGTCCTATGTTACAGAATTGTTGGGTTCTAAAGTACAGAACCGTTGGGTTCTATGTTACAGAACCGTTGGGTTCTATGTTACAGAGCTGTTGGGTTCTATGTTACAGAACCATTGGGTTTTATATTACAGAACTGTTGGGTTCTGTGTTACAGAACCGTTGGGTTCTATGTTACAGAACCATTGGGTTTTATATTACAGAACTGTTGGGTTCTGTGTTACAGAACCGTTGGGTTCTATGTTACAGAACCATTGGGTTCTATGTTACAGAACTGTTGGGTTCTATGTTACAGAGCCATTGGGTTCTATGTTACAGAACTGTTGGTTTCTAATGTACAGAACCATTGGGTTCTATGTTACAGAACTGTTGGGTTCTATGTTACAGAACTGTTGGGTTCTATGTTACAGAACAGTTGGGTTCTATGTCACAGAACAGTTGGGTTCTATGTTACAGAGCCATTGGGTTCTATGTTACAGAACTGTTGGGTTCTAAGGTACAGAACCGTTGGGTTCTATGTTACAGAACAGTTGGGTTCTATGTTACAGAACCATTAGGGTTCTATGTTGGCTGTAGTTGTTCGTTTGGTTCCTGATGAATTCAGAACAATAGAACTTGAACAGGTCAGCACGTCCCCTCAGCCTCTGGAGGTCCTGACCTCTGACCTCTGACCTCCAGCTGTTTGATTGACAGCTCTACCTGTCGTCCTCAGGGTATCCCAGGCATCAGAGGAGAGCCAGGTCTGAGAGGACAGCGAGGACTGAGAGGAGATCCGGTAAGTTGCAGATTACCTGGCTGAGTGACCTTTATTCCTCCAGCTGATTGGACAACCACAAACTAACCTGAGATGAGACCGTCCAATCAGAGAGCAGATGGTTAGGTTCTGAAAGTGAGGCAGAATTTTAAAGTTTAAACTTGTTTAAAGCCTCACACTCACTGGAGATATTTTGCTGACAGACAGGAAGCTACAGGGTCACCTGCCTTTCTGAAGACAAAAGTCATTTCAACAAGTGAAAACTGTTAAAGAGAATATTTTCAGCAGCATGATGCTGCCGCCGCCGTGCTTCACTGTGAGGAAACATCTTCATCTGTGTTTGTTCTGTGTTCCAGGGAGAACCAGGGTCCGATAACACCACACCAGGACCTCGAGGAGAACCTGGAAACCCAGGACTGCCGGTGAGAGACGTATCAGAACCACTGAGGTCCAAATGACAGCAGGAAGTCAGACTGAAATAAAGACTGAAGCTTCTGGATCAGAATCTGTCAAACATTTCTCTCTAAACTGTAATTTAATAAAACAAGTTTCATTATTAAAGGAAATAAAACAAGTTTCATTATTAAAGGAAATAAAACAAGTTTCATTATTAAAGGAAATAAAACAAGTTTC